CGCCCCCGCCACCGTGCCCTTCATTGCAGGCATTTGGGGACATCAGAGGAGGTGTACTTTACTACTCTCTGCCTGCTTCTTTCTTAAAGGACAGATCCGAGATTTCCTCGTGTCAGGCTCTGTTGACTCCGACACTGCGCTGGTCCTTGTGAATGCCATTTACTTCAAAGGGATATGGAGGACAGCGTTTAAGGAGGAACACACCCAGGAAGTGTCCTTCAACGTGACAGAGGTAGGAGCACATGGGAACAGCTTCTGGCCAGGACAGCTGCTGGTACGGACAGCCAGAATCCGGGTGTTACACATACAACCTGTTGCTGACACAGGCTGGATGATTTAGTTGGGTCCCTCACTGTCAGCACATGGGCCTAAGGCCAAGGAGTGTTTGCAAGACCCGTGATCAGGCTTCCAGGGCACACCAGCAGCCAGGAGAGGAACTTGAACACACAGCTCTTCTTCAAAGGCAAAGTGCTTGGAGATCGAGTTTTGTCCCTTCAAAAGGCTGCATGCTTCCCTGCTTAAAGAAAAAACTGCTGCCCGGTCACGTTGTCTGACATTTCTGTCTTGCAGCAAGAAAGCAGACCTGTGCAAATGATGTGTCAGAACAGTACCTTCAAAGTGGCAACGGTGGCTGAAGAGAAAATTAGGATCCTGGAGCTTCCATACGCCAGCGGAGAGCTGAGCATGTTGGTGCTGTTGCCTGATGACGTCTCTGGCCTGGAGCAGGTATGGTCCTGGCAGGGGAAGCAGAGGAGTTCTCTCTTCAGCAGAGAGACCTTTTGCTGTCCGTTTGCACCCCAGCTGCCCATGCCACAGCCGTGCTGGGCAGGCAGGAGCTCAGCAGCTGCCCAGCTGCTACCAGGGGGCTCAGACAGGGTCTGGCCTTGTAGGAGAGCCCGGGGCTCAGTCTAATAAAAAGGGGTAAAGGAGTGGTGTAGTGCTGCTGTAGCCTTGCGGAAAAGAATGCTGCTATATGCACTGGTCTCCATCAGGTACCAAAACCAGACATGCTAGCAGGATTTTTTTTCAAGTGATTTCAATCTTCCAGGAGAGCACTCAATTGTTTGCTAAACATGAAAAGTTTACCCAGGGGGAAATAAAAAATTAAAGGAAAGAGGAAAGCATTCCAAGAACTGTCAAAAAAGGGTAAAAGTAGCATTGGAAAGGAGATAAGATGAGGGAAGGGATCAATAAAATATGTTCCAGGAGGAACCATTTTGCAGGCAATCTGATTTAATGTTTTCCGTAGCTGTATTTGCACCAAAAAAACCTTGATCTGATTAAGAAATTCTCAGATGACAAAGTTTTGGAGAACTTCAAGACAGATGAGATATAGGCTGTAGTCAGGAGGAAGCATACAGAATAAAGAAACACATTTAAATGAAGTATCAGTTCTATTGTGTACACAAAGGAAATGAAAAAAATAGTATCAAGTGGTATAAACACAACTCTAAAGGCCATTGCACTCTTGCCTCAGACATTTCATTCCCTGCCTCATCTTTGCAGCTTGAGAGCAAAATCAGCTTTGAAAAACTTACGGAGTGGACCAGCCCAAATGTGATGGAAAAGAAGAGAGTGAAAGTGTACCTCCCGCGCATGAAGATTGAGGAAAAATATAACCTCACATCTGTCTTGGTGGCCTTGGGCATGACCGACCTGTTCAGCCCTTCGGCCAACCTGTCTGGCATCTCCTCAGCAGAGAGCCTGAAGATATCCGAGGCCATCCATGAGGCGTACATGGAAGTCAATGAAGAGGGCACTGAAACAGCTGGCTCAGAGGTTGTAATGGGAGACTTCAAAGATTCTCCTGAAACTGAAGAGTTTAGGGCTGACCACCCTTTCCTTTTCTTGATCAAACACATTCCAACCAACATCATCCTCTTCTTTGGTAGATATTGTTCTCCCTAAGGAAGAAAAAAGCTGGAAATAATGCTTGCCTTTCCCTCAGAAACAGGCCCTCTTTACTGTAGTATTGTAGTATAATCACATTTCTTCAATATTTTCTCCAAGTGGAAGGCCTTCAATATCTAAGGAGATAGTCTTGAAGAAGGGTGCGAATTTTCAGATCTTTAGGTGCAGGTATTTCTGCTCACACAACGTGTATTCAGGACTCATACCCAGGATTGAATGAGAATTTCAGGAGGTAGTTTAGGAACATTTCCCATCGTCATTGAATAACATAAGGGACGGGGCCACTGTTTTCATTTTTGTGAGAAATCCTGCCACTGCTACTGAGAATCTGGTTTCTCTATAGGAGTTGGGCGAAATAAACACAGCTTTCAGAATAATCCTGTTCTTTTCTGTTGAACTTGCTGGGCAACTTGTCCTTGAATTGATGGCTGGACAACTTGCAGAGGAAATTCTAAACTTGAGGAAAGCGTTCTTCCAGGAATGCATTTGGGCTGCTTTGTGCTGCACATATACTCTAAGGCTGTGTCTCATGTTCTGAGGGAGGATACAGAAAGTCTAACACTTCTTCATAAATCATCATCTCCAAATACATCATCTTCCTGACTGATATAATTTCCCATCTTCATTCCAGTGATATATCATTGATTTTGTGAATGGTAATTGGTGGTCCTTCTATTTATTCTAATAAAAGCATTGCAAACTCAGTATGTCAGTACCTAGTCTGGGTCACTGCGCCACACAGCCTGAAACATATGATACAGTGGGTAGTGATTACTGAAACACATGGTTCAGACTAGGATTTAGGTCCTACTTTCAAAACCAGAATGTACATATATATGAAGTCACTTAGCAGCCTAAGACTTTATTTATTTACTTGTTTATGAGCTTAAGTAAGGTAAACCCTTCAGCTCCTATCCTTAGAGTTTATCTCCATATGGCATATCAGATAATTAAATTTCATGAATTTACTTTTGTATTTCCAGATAGTTTTAAAAGATTTCCTCTAAGTGTCCTCAGTAAATATACGAAGGTGATACCTAAGAGACACAATATCAGAAACACGAGAAGGGTGTTTGTCTTAAAAGGTGGACTATTTCAGCTCTCACATGCCCACAATTATCATACAAGTAAATCTTTTTTACTGCCTCTTGATGAGGCCTCACCTGGAGTGCTGTGTCCAGTTCTGGGCTCCTCAGTTCAAGAACAAGGAATGACTGGAGAGGGTCTAGTGCAGGGTCACTAAGATGATTGAGGACCTGGAGCAGCTTCCACGTGAGGAAAAGCTGAGAGAGCTGGGTCTGTTCAGCTTGGAGAAGAGGAGGCTAAGGGGGGATCTTATCAATGCTTATCAATATCTAAAGGATGGGTGTCAGGAAGATGGGGCCAGGCTCTTCTCAGTGGTGTCCAGTGACAGGACAACGGGCAGTGGCCATAAACTGGAAAACAGAAGGTTTAACCTGAACATGAGGAAACACTTCTTCACTGTGAGGGTGCCAGAGCACTGGGACAGGCTGCCCAGAGAGGTGGTGGAGTCTCCTTCCCTGGAGACTTTCAAAAGCCGCCTGGACTTGTTCCTGTGTGCTCTACTCTGGGACATCCTGCTCTGGCAGGGGGGGTGGACTAGATGATCTCTAGAGGTCCCTTCCAACCCCTTCCACTCTGTGGATCTGTGTGAATCTGTAATAATCCCCTAGAGACATTATTTCCTACTTCACAGTCTTTAGAGTGAAGGTTCCTTAGGTTAGAGTTTATCCAATTAAAAAAGAATATTCCTCTTGATTGTTGAGTTAAGCAATCTTCTGTTGGGATACAAATGCAAATTAAAGTGCTTTAGAAAGGAGACACATGGCGGTATTTGGAGCTGCTTCAACCATTTGCAAAGTCAGAATGAAATATGACTTGAAATGATGATGCTGGCAGCAGGGAAACACATTTTCATAGCTGTTATGAAGTCTCTGGGAGAACTGCAAACACTAGTCTTCCCTAGACAGTCATAAAGGATTAGCTACAGCTAACACAGGCACACAGGCAAAAAAGCATTTCAGGAGGTATGACATTTCAAGGTTTACTGTGTCCCTTATAGCCAAAAGCAGTCAACAGAGTTTTGCTGCAACCAAAAAAAAAAAAAAAAAAAAAAAAACCCACCAAAAAAAACCCACAACCAAAAAAAAGAAAAATTATTGTCCTGAGGAGCAGAGTGTGTAGGGTTATTAAAACTGTTATAAAACGGCTATAAACCAGAAATAAGCATGTCTGTCTTTGAATCTCTGAATTTTCTAGGTACAACTCTCACTCTGAATTTTCTAGGTACAATGACAATAAAATTATCAATTTATTATGGTAGGATTCATTACATAACATGGGGAAAAAGTAGTTATTCTCTTGTTTAATCTTTCTTTTGCTTGAAGATTATTTTAAAGTAAAGAAATGGAGAAAATCAAGGCTGAAATGGTACACGGCTTCCTAAGGCTTCACATAAGAGAGGTTTTAAAGGAACAGAGTGCACCCGATGTCCTCACCATGAAACAGAACTATTTGACTCATTTTAAACTGGGCCATTAGGTGTCAGTAGGGATACGAAGTGATGTCTATCACTTCTGAAAGACATCTGTTGAAAACTAGGTTTGGGAACTTAATGTAGGTTCCAATTTTGTTCTTGTTTTAATTTTTCTGCAAGCAGATGATTCTGATGGATATACTGAAATGCATACCACTGGCACTGTGCTTGGAAATCAGTCATTCTTTAAGAATAGGACAGAAATATTTTTCAGCGAAAGTCCAGAGGCATTTTAAGATGTCTGTGTTCTGAATGAAAAAATAGTATGACAGTCAAATACTGTAGAAAGGATGGAGCTATTTGTTTTTTGAAGGAGAAAACATGCTCCTTAGAGGCTAAAATGAAAGTGCAGATTCATCGAAGCTGAATAAAATCTACACCCCCCATATAAATGGCAGGGCCCAGAACTGGTCTAGATCATAGCTGGTCTGGGCTGGCAGGACCTGCTGTAAAGGCACTGCTGTGGTAAATGTGGCTGCTGCAGCCCCCATGGGAAGCAATTCTGCAAAGGACAGCATAGAATCATAGAATCATGGAATCACAGAATGGTTTGGGTTGGAAGGGACCTTAAAGATCATCTAGTTCCACCCCCCCTGCCATGGGCAGGGACACCTTGCACTAGACCAGGTTGCTCAAAGCCACATCCAGCCTGGCCTTGAACACTTCCAGGGATGGGGCATCCACAGCTTCTCTGGGCAACCTGTTCCAGTGCCTCACCAGAGGGTGAGGGAGGGATGAGGGAAGGGCAGTCGTGAGGGGAGCAAACACTGCCTGCTTCTTCTGAGCTCTGAAGTCCAGAAAGAGTTTAAAAACATTAATCCCAGTTCCCACAGAATTCAGGCATTGTCCAATGGTCTTTTTTGTTCCCTGACAGCATAACTGAAGTTGGTATGTCAATAAACTGCCATCTGTCCACTTGCTACACTCCATCTTCACTACGTGTTGTGTTGCTTTGGATACCGCATACTGCTAGGGGTCTGTGGAACAAAAACAGCCACAAGCAATCACTTTCTTTTTTATGCAGCATGGGAGGCATTAGAAGTGCTCTCTGGACTAACTATGCCTTTCTTTTTCATGGCATTTGGGGAAGGGTTGAAGCTGACATATCTTCTGTGCCCTTTGGAGAATGTAATTGTCTGGGCCCATTCCATAGGTCTCTGCACATATGACTTGGAAAAAGGCCTACCTTCTCCTAAGTAAACCAAATCCATGGCTGAAAGCACAAGACTTCACAGGCAGTGTGCTCTAATCATAGTCACCAGAGGAAGGGCACTCAGAGAACCCCCTGGACTCCAGTGGAAAAAGCTGTCCTGGGCTCCCAAATGATACTTGAGAAAGCACAGCATGCTGAATCAACCTGAAATCCACATATCAGCTGGGAAGGATTTGACACGTAGCAGTCGTTCAGTTTTCTGCTTCTTGTGGCTATGCAGCTAAGATTCTTCAATGTGGAAAACAGACAGCAGAGAGGGGACTGTCAGGGAGTGGCAGGGCTGAGGCTGTTCAGCCAGGGAAGGGGAGCCAGGGCATCAGGTGACAGCAAAGTCGGAAGGGCTCCCCCTTCTAAGGCATTCAGTGCCACAGTTCCCAAGGCTACTACTGCAGTCTAGTGATTCCCAAATAAGTCTGTAGCAGTGAAGTAGGTCAAATAGCAAGGCTGGAGGTTAAGTCCATGGGTCAGTGTGTGTAACAGTCCTAAAGCTGAAAATTGTTGTACATTGAGGAGTTAGAGACCCAAATAAAAGTCAACCTGATCAGGCACAGGTGTGTGCTGCGCTATGTCACGCTCCACATATCGCTTGGCTTCCTGGCCTATACTGTGCTGAATTTATCACCTGGCTGTGGGATAAACCTAGCCTGCTAATCACAATGGAGGAGCTTGTAGATAGATGGTCCTGAATAGGCACCTGGTGATGATGATGCTGGCATATTCTTGTCTTTATCTTGAAGAGAAGCAGCACGTTTCTCAATAAATATGCTTTTCTTCAATGGTGAAGTTATAAACAGAGTTGTTTACTTCTAAAATCATACCTGTAAAAGCTGTAAAGCTCACACCACCAGTGAATCTCTGCATGCATGGGATATGCAGTGCAGTGCCCTGAATAAAGACCCAACCCATGCTGCCCAGGTCTGGGTTCCCACCATCTAAAGGGACATTAAATTATCTATGCTATCTCCTTTCCCCCCCTTGTGTTATCTCCAATAAACTGCATTTTAGTCAGTTTCTTACTAGTGTACAAAACGAACACTTGCAGAGGTGCATTACAGGGTCCAGCTCGGTGAGGTCCGTGGCTGGGCACAGGCATGCAAGGTAGCAAGGACCTCAGTCAGGAGACTCAGTTCAAGTGTTTCTCTCAAGCGCAGGGGATGCAGACCCCCATGGAGGCATGTCATCGTACAGAGTGCTCTGATTCAGCCTGGACAGTTGCTTCAGATGTGT